TTCTCAGAAAGTGGGTGAAAACGAACATGTGGTGGCCTACTTCAGTAGGGTCCTGAGTAGATTAGAGAGGAACTACTGGGTAACATGAGGGGAACTCCTTGCTATAGTAAAGAATCTGACATGTTTCCATCCTTACCTCTATGGGGCTAGGTTTACCATCAGGACAGACCATGCTGCATTACGGTGGTTAAGATCATTAAATAACCCAGAGGGACAACTGGCACATTGGATCGGAAAAAATAGACTAGTATAAATATGATATTGAATACAGAGAAGGAAAATCTCATGGAAATGTCGACGGACTGAGCCGAAGACCCTGCAAAAAAAATGACTGCAGACATTGCTGCAAAAGAGAGGTTGAACTAACCAGGTGCCATCAAGCTGACGTCAAAGTGACCGAACAAGTTCATGATGGTGAAGTGGAACCAAGTATACATATTAAAGCAGAACAGGAGAAAGACCAAGATTTGAAGCCAATAATTGATTTTCTACAAGGAAATGTTTTGTGCCCTGCTTGGGAGAAAGTGTCTAGCTTAAGCCCTGTGACAAAGATCTATTGGGCACAATGGGACCAGTTGAAGCTTGAAGATGGTATTCTTGTCCAGAGATGGGAACTGCAGATGGGAAAGTGACGACCTGGAAAACCGTTATATCGAGAAAGTTACGGGAAGTTGTGCTGTGTCAATCTCATGATAGTTTAACAGGAGGACATCTTGGAGTTAAGAAGACATTGAGTCACCTATGGCAGAGGTTTTACTGGATAGGTATGAGGCAAGATGTGGAAGAATGGTGCAGGACCTGTAGTACATGTTGTGCTAAAAGGGGACCTAAGCATAAGGGATGTGCTCCAATGAAGTTATATCAAGCTGGCGCACCAATGGAAAGAGTAGCCATTGACATTGCTGGCCCTTTGCCACAAACTCGTGCTGGAAGCAAGTACATTTGTGTGGTGATGGATTATTTCACCAAGTGGCCTGAGGCATATGCAATACCAAATCAGGAAGCTACAACTGTAGCTTCGGCTATTAGTGATTTCTTCTTCATATTAGGTATGCCATATGAACTGCATTCTGATCAAGGCCATAACTGGGAATCAGCTGTGTTCCATGAATGCTGCAAGTTGTTTGGCAT